ATAAACGGGCTGAGCTTCAGCTATACTGCACTCATTTACAAGAACTTACTCAGCTGACTCATGAGAAATAAAAGCTGAATTTTTTGTCAACGGTTGTGTGAATTTTTTTTTTTTTAACTCTTTATTTATAGACAATTTTCATATTTTAGTACAGAGATGAAAGGTAAAAAAAAAAAAATACAAAACAATAAACAGTTACACAAATTTGAGGTCCAAGGGTGATCTATATATATCCAAAAGACAAGTCTCACACATTGGCCAAATAGGCATGCCATTTCTGCCATTGTTTTTCACCCGGATCTTTTTGGAGTCGGATTAAGTAAGTCATTTGCTGTAGGACATGTAATTATTTTACAATATTAACAAAAGTATCTATAGTGGGGGCATTTTTCTGGAGCCAGCATTTTGTGATGGCCTTTTTACTGCAGCCAGCAAGACCCTAAGAAGGTAAATATCAGTTTTACTCAATCCATCCGGTATGTTTCCAAGATAGAGAGTTGTGAATGATACATTGATATTGAAACACAGAACCTTTGAAATAATTTTTGCCACTTCCCCTCCAGAAAATCTTGATGGAGGGGCGAGACCAAAAAACATGGACCTGATCAGCAAAGACCTCTCCACATTTTCTCCAGCAGGCCAATTGTGTACCAGTCTGTTTGGACTTCTGCTTGGGAGTTATAAAACAATTAATGAGGTTTTTTTTGTTGGTCGAGGATGACTGGGTTTCCCAGGCATTCAGCCACATGTCCTGTGTTATCACGATGTCCAACTCTTTTTCCCATCGATGTTTCACATAGTCTGTAGTGTCCTTATTCAATGAAGTGACACCATGGTATAACTTTCTTATGAGTCCTTTGATACTCCCTGAGTTGTATGCATCCATAAATATATGAATAACCGCTGGTGACTCTGTTGGGTTACAACCTTTCAGCTTTTTACAAAAATAATCCTGAAACTGTAAGTACCTGTAAAAGTCTTGCCTGCCCAACCCATATATTTGACATAAGTTGTTAAAGTTGTTTATGTCTATTATCTTGTGATGCTGGTGTGAATCCAGAGTCGTATGCTGGCCATCTAAGCAGTTTTATCTGTTTTTGGAGTTCAAATTTTTTAACGACCTCTCCCCATACCTTTTGTGAACAGTTCACCCATTGGCTCTCTGTCTGTAATATTTTTTTCTCCATTCCCACACAGCCAAGGAGTGATTGTATTGGTACATCTGTTAAAGATAACTCCACAGTTTTCCATTTAGCCACATCAAGAATTACACCAATATACTAGAGATCTCAATTGGGCTGCCAAATAATAATCCCATTGAAGATGGGAGTGTTATGGTTTGGCTTAGTATGTCTTTGTTGTTGTGCTTTTCTTTTGTCCTCTCTGTTCCCCCTCCCTTTCTGTTCTCTTGCAGAGCTTGTGGGGCAGGGGTGTGGCGGCTCCTCCTGTTGGCAGCAGAGGCACACCGAATTCCCTCCACCTCATTAGCCCGGTCTGCTTGTGTCAAGATTCGCTTGGCAATTCTGCAGAAGACTTCCACCGCCCGCTTCTGTTCTGGTTTTGGTTCGGATTATTATTAAAGAATCTTCAGTTCCCACTCACCAGTGTGTGTGCGTCTCTGCTTAGGAGTCCAAGACTTAAAGAACCCAAGAGGGAGAGCCTTGTTGCCACTCCCTCCGGAAGCTGAAGGGTAGAAAATGTAACCCTTGGTCTCTGTTTATTCCAAATGAATCGTGAAATATGTTTATTCCATTCTCTAAATAGTTTCAGAGGGATTTCTACTGGTAATGATAAAAAGAGATACAATAACCTAGGGAGGATATTCATTTTTATTGATCTAATTCTGCTAACAAAGTCAAGGGGCTGCAGGCTCCACCCATCAAGGTCATCATATAATTTTTTGCTAATACCGTTATAATTAATATTGAATAAATGTGACATGTCTTTAGGTAAACTTACTCCCAGGTATTTAATATAAGATGAGTTCCAATTAAAACTATACATTGTGTTGAATTCTTCTGTAGGTGTGTTATTAAATGTCATAACCTGTGTTTTATGTATGTTTAGGACATATCCTGAGTACTCCCCATATGTTTCCAGCATTTTCATTAATAAAGGCAGGCCTGAACTAGGATCCTTTATTGTGATCAATACATCATCCGTGTACAGACTTATTTTATACTCCACTCCTCCCATGGAAGGTTGTGTGATTTTTTGAAATTATGACTGGCAGGAACAAAGAAGTGTGAGGGAGGATGGATGGAGCAACAAAATGTCAGACTCAGAGCCTGATTACAGCTGGTATCAACAGCGTCTTGGATGATCCGACCACAAGTGGACGGCTTTAAGTTTGTCAGTTTACAGCTGGTGTTAGAATGCGTCTCCATATATGCAAATAAACACTACAGGACTGTACCTAATGCTTAAACCCTCTCTCTCTCTCCTTACCTGTCCTTACCTGCTCCTTACCCCCCTCTTTCCATCCCTCTTCCTCCTTTCTCCCCTATCTTTCCCTATCCCCCTCCCCTTTCACCCTCCTTACCTCCTTATACATTCTCTCCTTCACCATCTTTCTCCTTACCCCATTTCTCACTTTACCCACCTCTCCTTACCTCCTCTTTCCACCCAAACTCCTCCTAAAGAATTGATCGGATCAACGTCAAATTTGGTCAGTGAAATCTAAAGGCCATCGCGATTTAAAGTTGCGCTCTTTGTCCAACAGTGGTGTCCCCCCAAAAAACAACACATACCCTCTTACAACAGATCGTGTATATATTTTAGTCTATTCACTTCACTCTGTTGATTCTATTAATGCTGTTCATACTGTATATATCCTGCTATTCATATATATATATATATATATATATATCTATAATGTTATGTTATCCCTGTACAAATGCGCATTACTCTGCACTTTACTGCTTTTTGCACTTCTGGTTAGATGCTCAACTGCATTTTGTTGTCTTAGTACTTGTACTTTGTGCAATGACAATAAAGTTGAATCTAATCTAATCTAAAAACAGAGGATTAAATTCATCTTAAAAGAGATTTGTGCATCCACATTTTAAATGAAGGCAGCTCAGTATATTGTCTAGCTATTTTATTTCAAGTCTTGGGAAATAATGTTTTTACACCAGACCACTGTCTGAGGAAAAGCGAAACATGCGACAATCAAAAATGATATTTCTTCAGTCATCCATTGTCTCTTATGATTTTAAACAGCTATGTCATGGTGACCTGAGGGATTACACATGACATCTGAGTCATTGGTTATTAAAAATCAACTTGATTTTGTGGAAAACTACCTTATGAGGAAGTAAATGTGTTTGTTTCTGTTGTGACAAAGTCTTTGTTCCTTTAAACTCCCATCTGTCCACACTGCAAGTCAACTGGTGATAATGAACAAAAGCTGATGAAGCGTTTCTTTTACAGTTGTAAGTTACCTCATCCATAGGCGGTCTTAAGGGGTGTTTTGTAAAACACATACAGCTGTTAATTCACTGCAAGTATAAAGTATATATATAGTTGTCAGAGCTAGACATGACCACCTCATTTGTGTTGTGCCATCTAAAAAAAACAACCCTTTATTTATATTATCCTTATCATCTAAATACAATTGCATAATTACATATGGCTTATTCTTCTAGGTGCTTTACCCATCTACCTTCTAACTTCATCTGTAGTGTTTATCTGCAATGTAAATAAGTCCCAGAAGAATATTTTGCAAGTAAAGAGTTACATTTTACATGTCAAAAATATTTATTTAATGCAACATGATTCAAAAGTGCATATGATTTCACTAGATTGAACTTTAATTAAATACTTATAGAGTTTTAGGTGGTAGAAGTTGAAGTTTTGTTAAACTGAGCAAATTTTCTGTGTACCGGCTTGATTGAGTGTCCTCTGGCATGTGTTTGTCTAATAATGAATGAACAGCTGGCTAAAACTGATTGTGATTTTCATTTTAAAGTGGGGGTAAATTCACTCGTGTCTTAGTGTTTAGTTTCTTGTGTTATATTCCTGCCTAACCGTCTCTCTCTTTTATGCTTCAGGATCACACCTCACCTGTCTGCCAGCTTTTGACCAGATATCCACCAGCCACATCCAGTAAGCCATTCGTCTCCACCCTCTTGGCCTGTGTTACTGTCAGCTACCTCCCCACTCATTCCACATCCATACCCCACTACCCTCACAATAAATCCCTTTTTATTCATCTTACTCCTGAGTCTGTGTCTGCATTTAGGTCCACCTTAAATCATAACCATAGTCTTGTTAAGATTATACTTGTACTGTACATTCATAGTCCTATATGTATAGCCTATAGCCCCTTTAAATTACACTTTTTTTTGTCCTGTGCAAATATATTTATTTCTACACTGTGCCACTATCTGCTGCTGTGACTTGTGCAATGTCCCATATCAATCAGATCTTTCTATAAATCATGTTATATTTATTATTTATTTAAATATTTTTAATATCATTTTTATATAAAAATCTGTGTATATAGTGTACCTCTTATTCATGTGTTCCTATTATATCTTGTATTTTTTATATTCTATTTGTATTTATTGTGTTATTTCTTATCTTTTGTGTTTTATCTGAAGCTGCTGTAGCAAGTACATGTTCCCCAGTGTGGGATCAATAAAGTCTAACTTATCTTGTATCAGAGTGCCTCACTATTCCTTTATGTTTTAGTACGGCTTAAAGGACAATAATGGTAATGGTGAATAAATAATCAATTCTTTGCTATTTGCAGTCATACAAGGCAAAAACTGTGCTCTTGAAACGTTGCACTACAATTAACCTTTGTCCACATTCACCATGCAATCATGCAATACATGATAACCCTGGGCATTTAGCTCCATCTATTGGTTAGACTGAGTACTTGCTCTGTGTTGCTTTACCACCCAGCAATTTGCTGTAGATCAGTGTAGGCTACATTCACTTTTAGGGTTTTCGTTGGCTTGACAAGCTGTGTCTAAATCACATGAGACAAGAGGAAGTATTCAAAGGTGTGTAATCAGAGTCACAAATGCACACTCATATATGCACTTATAAATCATCTTATAGATCTTCTGAGATTCATTTCTTAGTCCTGTTTCTCTGAAAAGTCTTAACAGGTGTAAACAATGCAAAAGTACTGTGGGAGAGAAGTTACTTTTCAGATCCAGCAGCGACTTCAGCTCAGCAGACAACAAAAATGAAGGTGTTGAATTTCAGACACTTTCTATCCAGTCTTTTGCTTCATTCCTTCAATTGCTCTCCTCCGTGTCAGGTTGGTGAAGAGCAACACAAAGTTGATAATGTATGTTGACACACAGACCATGCAAAAATCCCCCAGAACAAAGGCGAGAATAAATGCGAGGTAGAGTGAACCGGCCACAGACACCCAGGAGGAGAAGACCAAAAACATTGCAGCTTTTTTGGACAGAGACAGTCCTGCAATGAACACAAACACAGAAGAGTTAAGTTCATCAATAAAACACATTACATAAGCAATAAAAGGGAAAGTGTTGTATATATCATTACGGTTTCAGCTAAATAAATATGAATATGAACCAGCCATGGTTCATGAACATGCTGTTGTATTGTTATTTTAAAGGCTCTTCTAGGGTTTATAGCTATAAATGCTGTAAAAGAATGCACTGGAAAATTGTAAAGCAGTTTTCTCTGTATATGTGTCTATCAAATAAACCTGAAATCCTGGAATGCAAACAGTATCTATTTTGCCTAAAAACACTGAGCACTTCTCTGTAATTTACAGAATAAGATGCCAGACTAACCAAGGCCCATCTGCAGAGTGTAAAATATGATGCCAAGCACGCTGTTGGGCTGGTTCAGAGGGCTATCTTTGGGAGCAAAAAACTGGACCAAGCCAAAACCACGTCCCCATCTGCCAAAAAAAATAAAGAAAGAGAAAACAGTTAGAGAACATATTGAAAAGAAAATGAAAAGACATGCCTGAATATCGTTAAAATAGCTCCTATAAAAATAATCAGGCATGCATATTATTTAATGGAAAGCAATTTGACATATCAAAAGAGGAACATCCCCTGTCCATCCATTATTAAAAAAGTAGCTGATGTGAACTATGTGCAGGACTTTAACACGTGGCAGTGAAGAGGGGTCGGGTCTGCCATGAACTATTCAGATTTTACAAGTAAACAATGATACAACCTGAAATGATTTAATGCTGCAAATTAAGTCTTATAACTCTGCACAGCAAATCAGGTATGAGCTGATAAAACAAACCCGAGGTATAAAAACATACCTGGAGGTAAACACTTTGGAGCAGCTCACAGACTCCCCCAGGTCGCACATCGCTCTGTAATCAGGGTTGTTCTCTCGGGACAGCTCGACGTGAAGCGCATAAACAGACAAAAACAAACCGAAAACGCACAGAAATATGCGCGCCTTTCTCTCCCATTGCGGCAATGCCATGGCTATTTGAGGAGATTTTAAACGGACACTTTTTAAGGTGGTTTTATATGACTCCAGTGGGCAAAAAAAGACCAGTATCAGTCCGCTTCTATTTCCTTTAAAACCTTGCAGTCCACACCGACTGCAGGCGACGTGTAAGAGATCAGATGCTCACTTTTGATTGGTCTGCTGGATTTTGGTCACTGCCTTTCATTGGACAGCTGGTTCCAGAAGTTGGAGCAGCCAGAGGGGTGTTTATTGTGTAATTACTGTGGACTTCAGTCTGTTTGGGCTTCAGGGGGGGATGTTAAAAACTGCCCACACTGTCCATGCCACTGCAGCTTTTTACAGTATATGTGCACTATACATAATTATTGTACAGTCTGAACACGTTATGCATAATATGTAATCAGTGGTAGAACAAGCATTCAGGTCTTATACTTAAGTGGTAACACCACAGTGTAGAAATACTCTGTTACACGTAAAAGTACACTCAAAATCTTACCTAAGTAAAAATGAAAAAAGGTACTAACATCAAAATATAGTCTACTTAAAGAAGCCTACTCATTATGCAGAATGGCCTATTTCAAAATAATATACATTAAATGATTGGATTATAATTATTGATGTATTAATGTGTAGGCTACATCACATGATAGATAAGATAGTCACACGTTTTGGACTTTGGATTAAAGTGTATCATTACATTTAAGTACAAGTATCTTAAAATTGTACTCAGTACAGTACTTGAGTAAATGTACTTTCCATTAGTGTATTTATTTACCCACTCTTCCAAACACACTGACAAAATGCTTTTACTCCCTTTAATTTTCTATAGTTATCAATGCTCCAGTGCTATGATTATAGTAATGATATAATAGTTATTAGATAGATATTCTATCATAGTAAATAAAGTAAATCAAATATTATTCTACTAGTTTTTAGAAGGGGGGGTAATTGTGTCCCAATGTGGCCCCTCCTATACTAATCCAATTCTGGAAAACGGCGTCACCACAAAAAAAAAAACAGAGACCTAACTGTCTACCCCGATGTCCCGCCTCCCCCCCACGCTCTCTGCTCCTATTGGACGGTCTCTCAGAAGTCACCTCGTCTCATTGGTCCCGCTACATGGCACTCAAACCCAACACGGAACTGTACGAGGAAGCGGCAGACAAAAACAAGCGATACCCGCGCTACTACGGGATTAAAAACTACAATTACTGATGTTGTGGTTGGCTCACAAGGTGATGGTCGGTTCCGTTACTTAGAAACGCCTCTCTGTGTCGTCCTGCGTGTTTATATAAACCGAGAAAGACATGGTTTATCGGTTTACGTCCCTAGAAAGCCTGAGCTCCAGGTAACTAGCATACGCCCCTGCGTCAAAAAGTGGGTAAGGCTGCGTCTTTATCATGTTATTAGTTTATTTGAACCACTCTGTAGTACCACAGCTAGCGTGCCATCCAACACAGCTCCACATGTATTTGTTCTCTGATAATCTATCTGTAAGCAAACTCCAGCTGTAATCTAGAGACGTCTTGTGACTGAGAGCTACAGGTTAGGGTCATTTGACTGACAGGCCGAGTGTGTGTGTGTGTGTGTGTGTGTGTGTGTGAAGTTGCTGGGCAGCGTGTTGGTCACGCCTTGTTTTTGTATGGTCAGGTTAATTTAATCTTTACAATCAGTTGATGCAAACATAGAATATCTGTGTTTTGTCAACATTAGTTGTCAAATCATTATCTTAAAAGTGCTGTACCTAAATGACTGACCTTTTGTCAAGTGGGGCTCCTGGGGGCCCCGGGGCTCTGGCAGTAAGAGGGCGCTCTTCTGTGGAGTTTAAACTTATGTAACTTCTAAAGAAAAAGACATATTACATGTTGTGATCTTCGCTCTGGTCTTTTGGCTTTTGTTTTTTTTACCTGATTGTGTCACTGTGCAACCAAAGATTAATAAGTGCAGGGGACAAACACATTTTTCCCACCGCTATGTTTTGTAAGCATGTTAGCACAAATGCAGATACAGTTATTAAGACCACAATACTTTTATTTATTGCTGCTACTAATGATTATTTTCACTATTAATGAATCTACCTATCATTTCTTTGAATAATTGATCAATCTTTTTGTGTCAGATATTAGCAAACAGAGCCAAAAGAAACAGACTTATATTACCCGTTTAAGATGCCTTAAGATATTCAGTAAGATATTCAGTTGGAACAAGTGATTGTTTGCCATTTTTTGATTGAAAAGTGACTCAAAGAATTATTTGTTATCAAAATAGTTGCCGATTAATTTTACATTTCAGCTCTACTTTTATAGAATTTAGAACTGGGCAACTATATTTATGTTTATCAGCTTTTCAGCATTCTTTCAGATTCTTAAGTTGTGATTAAAATGAGTTAGTAATTAGTAACAAAAAGTTTTTGTCTTACACATACAAAGAGTTTTGTCTGATATAATACATAATGGTGTCATTGCTTTGAACTTCAGTTTGATTTGCCAAGTTGTGATCAATAAGGGAAAATATTCGTAGTAATATTGTGATAATGATTTTAACAATATCAACCAGTCGAAATTGTATTAATCCACAAAAAAGGCCAAACCCACCATTGGGCCAAATGTGTCAATAGTGTGCTGATATACTCTACATGCTGCTATGACTCCAGTTGTAGAAAACAAGCAGTACTTTACCTTGGCATTGTGGACCTTTAAGATTATGTCACTGAATACTTCTAACTTTGTTTTTTTTTTTATTCTTTACAGAAAAATGTCAACTAAGGAGGGTGGAGAAGGTAAAAATGGTCAACCTGTGGCCATGTCCCCTGAAAGAATGGCCACTGACAAAAGCAGAGAAAACCAGAACCAGCGTGGCGTTGAGGCAACAGAAGGCACCGCAGACACCAGCACAATAGCAAAAAACTTGGCTTTGCTAAAAGCGCACTCTCTGGATGTGAAGTTCGACGTCGGAGAGGAGTATGATGTTATAGAAACTATAGGCACAGGGGCCTATGGCGTTGTTTCATCTGCCAGGAGACGGGACAATGGTATTTGATGAAATAATAACACATAACTCATTCTGTGTGTACTCCAATGCTTAACAAATAAATATGGAAATTAATTGTCAGTTAACATTGTCATTTAAACTCAGTTTAACTTTTTTTTTTTCATTGGGGCTTATGTACATTTCACAGGCCAACAGGTGGCGATAAAGAAGATCTCCAATGCATTTGAGGTGGTGACAAACGCCAAACGCACCTTGCGAGAGCTGAAGATTCTCAAGCACTTCAAACATGACAACATCATCGCCATCAAAGACATCCTGCAGCCTAACCTTCCTCACTCTGCCTTCAAGTCTGTGTATGTACTTTTTATTTTCATTGCAACTTTGGTGAAAAATAACAAATTCACAAGGTTACTCCTCTGACAAGAAAGGTGTATAGAACTCTGTAAGTTTATTGATAAAATAAATAAATTACAAATAATTTCAGAACAGTTGCATTTCTAACTTTAGTCAACTAATTTACACACATCTAAACATTCCATTGAGTCACATGTTGTCACTGGGTAACAATTTTCATATATATATTTGACATATTTGACTAGTTGTGTTTTTCACCCATCACAAGCATTCAGTTGTATTTATCAATAATAAGAACCTACTGAAAATGTTGATTTGGAAAAACTATGCATTTTGGAAATTGAAAACATTTACAATTACAGAGGCGACTAAAACAGATCCCTAAAATATTAGTTTATATATCGGTGGTAATTGTTTTTGTATCTGGAAGACATAATCGTTAAGTTGTTGATATTTATGAAGATATACTTTATGGCTCAATAGATGTCACACAAACATGTCACTTTCCCACTCCCCATGTGTGCAGGTATGTGGTGCTGGACCTCATGGAGAGTGACTTGCACCAGATCATACACTCCGCCCAGACGCTCACGTCAGAGCACACCCGCTACTTTCTGTACCAGCTCCTCCGTGGCCTTAAGTACGTGCACTCTGCCAACGTCATCCACCGTGACCTCAAACCCTCCAACCTGCTGGTGAACGAGAACTGTGAGTTAAAAATTGGTGACTTCGGCATGGCGAGGGGTCTAAGTTCACACCCTGAGGAATCTCATTCCTTCATGACTGAATATGTGGCGACTCGATGGTACCGTGCTCCTGAACTCCTGCTGTCTCTGAATCACTATAGTTTGGCCATTGACTTGTGGTCTGTTGGCTGCATCTTTGCCGAGATGTTGGGCCGTAAGCAGCTTTTTCCTGGGAAGCACTACGTCCACCAGCTCCAGCTCATTTTGTCTGTGTTAGGCACGCCTCCCGAGGGGTTGATTGGTGCTATTAGAGCTGACCGAGTACGCTCTTATGTTCAGAGTCTTCCGTCACGGTCTGCTGTGCCTTTGGCCAAACTTTACCCACAAGCTGAACCAGAGGCTGTGGACCTGCTGGCGGCCATGTTGCGCTTTGACCCTCGTGAGAGAATCAGTGTGACGCAAGCGCTGGAGCATCCTTACCTGGCCAAGTACCACGACGCAGACGATGAGCCAATTTGCGTGCCAGCTTTTGACTTTGAATTTGACAAGCTTCCGATGAACAAGGAACAAATTAAAGAGGCGATTCTGATGGAGATCCAGGACTTTCATCAAAATAAACAGACTTGCCGTCAAAGACTACAGTTCAGGCCCTTGGAGAGGGCAAATGGTAGAGCTGCAGCACAAAGCAGTCACCAGTGTAATGCTCAGTCCTCAACTGTTAACCTGAGTAAGTCAACACTGGTTCCAATGGCACAACACCCACAAGCAGCACAAGTGAAATCTCAGCAGCAACAAGACAACACACCAGCAGAAGTGAACCACACATTTACGAGTCAGATGCAAACCTTTAATAAGCCCGCATCCCTTTTAGAAGTTGTCCCGCCTCATGTGACCCATAATTTGTCTCTGCTCTCTAAAAGCGAAAGCGGACCAGTTGATGTGGACATGCCCAGTGCCAACTCGGACAGTGGTCAGCCGGAGACTATAGATTTAACGACACCAGTGTCTAGTCAGGACACTCAATCAGAAACTATGAGAGACAGTGAGATACAAGAGCAGCTAACCAGCAGTCAGACTCCTCTGACTCAGTCCACCGAGAGTCAGTCCATGACCCAGGCTCCCA